TCCGAATTGGACAAGGAGAGGGGGCCGGCCCCTCTCTCTCTTTTCCCCCCTCCACAAGTCCTATTCCAACTAGGATTGGGGGGGGGGGAATCCTACTCCCAGAGGGAGTAGGACTCTCCTGGCGCGCCCTATGTGGCTGGCCAGCCTCCCCCCTTTTGGTCCGTTATATACTGAGGCAGAGGCACCCTAGAACACAGAAGTTGATCCACGTGATCTATTCCTTAGCCGTGTGCGGCGCCCCCTGCCACCATAGTCCTCGATAATATTGTAGCAGTGCTTAGGCGAAGCCCTGCAACAGTAGTACATCAAGATCGTCACCACGCCGTCGTGCTAACGGAACTCTTCCCCGACACTTTGCTGGATCGGAGTCCGGGGATCATCATCGAGCTGAACGTGTGCTAAAACTCGGAGGTGTCGTAGTTTCGGTGCTTGATCGGTCGGGCCGTGAAGACGTACGACTACATCAACCAAACGCTTCCGTTGTCGATCTACTAGGTATGTAGATCACACTCCCCCCTCTCGTTGCTATGCATCACATGATCTTGCATGTGCGTAGGAAATTTTTTGAAATTACTACGTTCCCCAACAGTGGCATCCGAGCCTAGGTTTCATATGTTGATGTTATATGCACGAGTAGAACACAAGTGAGTTGTGGGCGATATAAGTCATACTGCTTACCAGCATGTCATACTTTGGTTCGGCGGTATTGTTGGATGAAGCGGCCCAGACCGACATTACGCGTACGCTTACGCGAGACCGGTTCTCCCGACGTGCTTTGCACAGAGGTGGCTTGTGGGTGACAGTTTCTCCAACATTAGTTGAACTGAGTGTGGCTACGCCCGGTCCTTGCGAAGGTTAAAACAGCACCAACTTAACAAACTATCGTTGTGGTTTTGATGCGTAGGTAAGATTGGTTCTTGCTTAAGCCCGTAGCAGCCACGTAAAACTTGCAACAACAAAGTAAAGGACGTCTAACTTGTTTTTGCAGGGCATGTTGTGATGTGATATGGTCAAGACATGATGCTGATTTTTATTGTATGAGATGATCATGTTTTGTAACCGAGTTATCGGCAACTGGCAGGAGCCATATGGTTGTCACTTTATTGTATGCAATGCAATCGCGATGTAATGCTTTACTTTATCACTAAACGGTAGCGATAGTCGTGGAAGCACAAGCTTGGCGAGACGACAACGATGCTGCGATGGAGATCAAGGTGTCACGCCGGTGACGATGGTGATCACGACGGTGCTTCGGAGATGGAGATCACAAGCACAAGATGATGATGGCCATATCATATCACTTATATTGATTGCATGTGATGTTTATCTTTTATGCATCTTATCTTGCTTTGATTGACGGTAGCATTATAAGATGATCTCTCACTAATTATCAAGAAGTGTTCTCCCTGAGTATGCACCGTTGCGAAAGTTCTTCGTGCTGAGACACCACGTGTTGATCGGGTGTGATAGGTTCTACGTTCAAATACAACGGGTGCAAAACAGTTGCACACGCGGAATACTCAGGTTATACTTGACGAGCCAAGCATATACAGATATGGCCTCGGAACACGGAGACCGAAAGGTCGAGCGTGAATCATATAGTAGATATGATCAACATAATGAAGTTCACCAATGAAACTACTCCATCTCACGTGATGATCGGACATGGTTTAGTTGATTTGGATCACGTAATCACTTAGAGGATTAGAGGGATGTCTATCTAAGTGGGAGTTCTTTAAGTAAATTAACTGAACTTAAATTTATCATGAAACTTAGTACCTGATAAGTATCTTGCTCGTTTATGCTTGTTTGTAGATAGATGGCTCGTGCTGTTGTTCTATTGAATTTTAATGCGTTCCTTGAGAAAGCAAAGTTGAAAGATGATGGTAGCAATTACACGGACTGGGTCCGTAACTTGAGGATTATCCTCATTGCTGCACAGAAGAATTACGTCCTGGAAGCACCGCTGGGTGCCAGGCCTGCTGCAGGAGCAACGCTGGATGTTATGAACGTCTGGCAGAGCAAAGCTGATGACTACTCGATAGTTCAGTGTGCCATGCTTTACGGCTTAGAATCGGGACTTCAACGACATTTTGAACGTCATGGAGCATATGAGATGTTCTAGGAGTTGAAGTTAATATTTCAAGCAAATGCCCGGATTGAGAGATATGAAGTCTCCAATAAGTTCTATAGCTGCAAGATGGAGGAGAACAGTTCTGTTAGTGAGCATGTACTCAAAATGTCTGGGTATAATAATCACTTGATTCAACTGGGAGTTAATCTTCCAGATGATTGCGTCACTGACAGAATTCTCCAATCACTGCCACCAAGCTACAAGAGCTTCGTGATGAACTATAATATGCAAGGGATGAATAAGACTATTCCCGAGCTCTTCGCGATGCTGAAAGCTGCGGAGGTAGAAATCAAGAAGGAGCATCAAGTGTTGATGGTCAACAAGACCACTAGTTTCAAGAAAAAGGGCAGAGGGAAGAAGAAGGGGAACTTCAAAAAGAACGGCAAGCAAGTTGCTACTCAAGAGAAGAAACCCAAACCTGGACCTAAGCCTGAAACTGAGTGCTTCTATTGCAAGCAGACTGGTCACTGGAAGCGGAACTGCCCCAAGTATTTGGCGGATAAGAAGGATGGCAAGGTGAACAAAGGTATATGTGATATACATGCTATTGATGTGTACCTTACTAATGCTCGCAGTAGCACCTGGGTATTTGATACTGGTTCTGTTGCTAATATTTGCAACTCGAAACAGGGACTACGGATCAAGCGAAGATTAGTTAAGGACGAGGTGACGATGCGCGTGGGAAACGGTTCCAAAGTCGATGTGATCACAGTCGGCACGCTACCTCTACATCTACCTTCGGGATTAATATTAGACCTAAATAATTGTTATTTGGTGCCAGCGTTAAGCATGAACATTATATCTGGATCTTGTTTGATGCGAGACGGTTATTCACTTAAATCAGAGAATAATGGTTGTTCTATTTATATGAGTAATATCTTTTATGGTCATGCACCCTTGAAGAGTGGTCTATTCTTGTTGAATCTCGATAGTAGTAACACACATATTCATAATGTTGAAACCAAAAGATGCAGAGTTGATAATGATAGTGCAACATATTTGTGGTACTGCCGTTTAGGTCATATCGGTGTAAAGCGCATGAAGAAACTCCATACTGATGGACTTTTGAAACCACTTGATTATGAATCATTTGGTACTTGTGAACCGTGCCTCATGGGCAAGATGACAAAAACGCCGTTCTCCGGTACTATGGAGAGAGCAACAGATTTGTTGGAAATCATACATACAGATGTATATGGTCCGATGAATATTGAGGCTCGTGGCGAATATCGTTATTTTCTCACCTTCACAGATGATTTAAGCAGATATGGGTATATCTACTTAATGAAAAATAAGTCTGAAACATTTGAAAAGTTCAAAGAATTTCAGAGTGAAGTTGAAAATCATCGTAACAAGAAAATAAAGTTTCTACGATCTGATCATGGAGGAGAATATTTGAGTTACGAGTTTGGTGTACATTTGAAAAATTGTGGAATAGTTTCGCAACTCACGCCACCCGGAACACCACAGCGTAATGGTGTGTCCGAACGTCGTAATCGTACTTTACTAGATATGGTGCGATCTATGATGTCTCTTACTGATTTACCGCTATCGTTTTGGGGATACGCTTTAGAGACAGCTGCATTCACGTTAAATAGGGCACCATCAAAATCCGTTGAGACGACGCCTTATGAACTGTGGTTTGGCAAGAAACCAAAGTTGTCGTTTTTTAAAGTTTGGGGTTGTGATGCTTATGTGAAAAAGTTTCATCCTGATAAGCTTAAACCCAAATCGGAAAAATGCGTCTTCATAGGATACCTTAAAGAAAATATTGGATACACTTTCTATCACAGATCCGAAGGCAAGACTTTTGTTGCTAAAATCGGAAACTTTCTGGAGAAAGAGTTTCTCTCGAAAGAAGTGAGTGGGAGGAAAGTAGAACTTGACGAGGTAACTGTACCTACTCCCTTATTGGAAAGTAGTACATCACAGAAAACTGTTTCTGCGACACCTACACCAGTTAGCGAGGAAGCTAATGATGATGATCATGAAACTTCAGAACAAGATACTACTGAACCTCGTAGATCAACCAGAGTAAGATCCGCGCCAGAGTGGTACGGTAATCCTGTTCTGAAAGTCATGCTACTAGATCATAATGAACCTACGAACTATGAAGAAGCGATGGTGAGCCCAGATTCCGCAAAGTGGCTTGAAGCCATGAAATCTGAGATGGGATCCATGTATGAGAACAAAGTATGGACTTTGGTTGACTTGCCCGATGAAGCAATTGAGAATAAATGGATCTTCAAGAAAAAGACTGACGCTGACGGTAATATTACTGTCTACAAAGCTCGACTTGTCGCAAAAGGTTTTCGGCAAGTTCAAGGGATTGACTACGATGAGACCTTCTCACCCATAGCGATGCTTAAGTCTGTCAGAATCATGTTAGCAATTGCAGCATTTTATGATTATGAAATTTGGCAGATGGATGTCAAAACTGCATTTCTGAATGGATTTCTGGAAGAAGAGTTGTATATGATGCAACCAAAAGGTTTTGTCGATCCAAAGGGAGCTAACAAAGTATGCAAGCTCCAGCGATCCGAATTTTTTTTGATTTTTTTTCGATTTTACTATTCATGCGGGAGCTCGGGTGCAGATTAGCCGCGTCCGATGAAAAAGCTATACTTCTGCTTCTGCGGTATTATTAGTTTGAGAGATCTCCTAGATGGGGCTTAATTCCTCAAACATGAAAATTTCCCTCGGATACATATAGATGCTCTAATGATTATTATCTCGATGCTGCCATGCTTCTCCTTCAGCTGCAATGACACTGAAACTTCTGTGCTGTTGGATCAATCTCTTCCGTCGAGCAGCCACGAGCATGTCAATTTGGTATCTCAACTCTAAAGTCCGAAGTGGAGCAGCATCAACCAGTGACTGCATCAGCCGCCAACTGCTCTGCATCAGGCTCCCTGAAGCACCCGGAGTAGATGCCATACACCTTGTTCAAGTCCGCGGCGCTCGCCGTCCACACGTGCCCCGGCGCCGCCCCAGGAAGGCCGCCGTCCGCCGCGATCATCTCCTCGCACCTCTCCTCGACCAGCGCCGCCTCCCGGAGTTTCCCCTCCCGCCACAGGCTCTTCACAAGCAGCGCCTTGGTGGGCGCGTCCGGCGCGACCCCGGCGCCGCGCATTTCGTCGAACAGCTTCACCGCGAGCGCCGCGCGCTCCCGCTTGCAGTATGCCCTGATCAGCACGGCGTACATGTGCCCGTCGGGCCGCAGCTCGCACTGCCGCACCATCCCGAACAGCCTGTGCACGCCCTGGAGGTCGCCGGCGCCGGCCAGGTGCTCCATCAGCCCCGAGAATGTCTGCAGGTCCGGGAGCACGCCGCGCGTGGCCATCATCTCCTCCAGGAGCTCCGTGGCGTCGCGCCCTCGCCGGCACTTGGCCATCGTCCTCAGCAGCGACGAGCAGAGCAGCGCGAGGTTGGGCCGCGACACGGGGCCGCAGATGGAGTCGGCTTCCCGGAACACCCTCACCGCCGCGTCGGCATTCTTGGAGAGCCCGTAGAAGTCGACGATTAGTCGCACGGTGGCGAACGGGAGGAGGATGCCGTCGTCCCGCACCTTGGCCAGCAGGCGCTCCACCAGGTCGTCGCGGCCGGCGCGGGCGAGGATGGCGGCCATCCTCGCCACGGTGTCGCGGTCGTGCGCGAAGCCGCCGGGGCGGCACGCCACCCAGCAGAAGAACTCCCACGCCGTCCCCGGCTTCCTGAACGCGCGCAGGAGCTTGCACACGAGCCGCGGCGTCCAGACGATCCCGGCGGCCTCCAGCTCCGCCACCTCCTTGGGGTCCCAGCCTTCCAGCGCCCTGGCGAGCTCCCGCGGGTCCAGCCATGGCTTGAGCGGCGTCTCCTTAGCTCTGGGCGTGCCCTTGCCACCATCCTCTTCCTCCTCGCTGTCTCCCTCGCCGTCCGCGTCGTCCACGGCGTACGGGATCCTCGCGTCCGGCGAAAGCTCCTCGACGAAGTCCTGGGTGCCCTCCGTGTGGCCGGCTTCCCTCATGGCGGCGATGGCGGCCCGCGTCTGCGGCCCGGGCATGACGCCGTCGACGGCCGCCATCTCGCGGACCAGCCACCGGAGCTGGTCGAACCTCCCGGCCTCCGCGAGCGCCTCGGCGAGCACGTTGTACTGCCGGGTGGTCCGCCGCGTGCGCAGCGACGGCAGGAGCCGGAACACCTCGAGCGCCTGGTCGACGAACCCCGCGGAGGCGAGGTGGGCGACGACGACGGTGTAGGTGCGCGCGTTGGGGAGCGCGCCCTCGCGGACCATGGCGCCGAACGCGTCCACGGCGGCGGCGTGGTCGCCCGCGCCGGCGTGGAGGCTGATGACGAGGGTGTGCGCCTCGGCGGGGCGGTGCGGGGTGGTCGGGATGGAGGCGAAGGCGGCGAGGGCGGCAGGGCGGTCCCCCGCGGCGGCGAGGAGGCGGAGGCGCACGAGCGGGGGAGGGGGCAGGGGGAAGGAGGCGAGCAGGGAGCGGAGGTCGGGGAGCGACGCGGGGTTGGCGAGGCGGGAGGCGAGCGCGTGAAAGAGCGGGAGCGGGGCCGGCGAGGGGAGGGCGCGGAAGAAGGAGAGCGCCGCCGCCGGGGTGGGCGCGGCGCGGATGCCGTGGAGCGCGACCACGGGGTCGTCGGGTGGGGGCGGCGGCGGGGAGGAGGAAGGGGAGCGGAGGCGGAGGCGCAGGGAGTCGATGAGGCGCGCGCGGCGGAGGTAGACGGCGACGCGGCTGCCGGGCGGGGGCATCGCGTGGCGGCGGCGGCGAGACGAGGGACGCCCGAGCTCGTCGTCCCCCCAGCTCAAGAGACAGGTTTTAGTAAAACTCAAATCATCTGCACCCAACAGTACAGCCACATCACAGGTTAACAGCATTCCATTTCTTCAGTGTTTCATAGTAGACGATTTAAAGCAGACACCATAATTTCAGCATGACTTTTCTTCAATTCAGTTTAGTTCAGCGTGACTACGTGGTTCAATTCTACCATGTTTTCCCTGTACATGTGAATTCAAGAACAGTAGCACATTACACATCATTTAGCACAATACAATTTCAGTCTAAGATACTAGCAGGAGCAGCCAGTTTGGGGGGGAAGATACTTGCAGATCAGTATTGGTTTTGCAAATTGCAACTATGGCCAAGGAGATGCATGAGTCAACATGCCCAATTCAGTACACCAAATGGTTCCATGGACCAACATTAAAGCCTCATCCCCTGAAGCAGTCGTCGCCGCCACTGATGCATAAACCAGAAAAGCGGGAACATCGGACCGAATTCGGAAACGGTTACAACCTATCTGTTTTTCCCTGGTCGAAGCGAAGCTGATCATACATCACATTTGCTGGAGAATCAGATGTGGAGGAAACTCCTTGAAGGTGTGCCGAGGAAACCTCATATGTCGTCTGAGACGATTGCTCTGTCAATCTCTGCAACATGCGCTCCCGGGCGCATCAGGGACAGTAAAGCCTGGGAGTAACCACCAGTCGGGTAGAGAGTTCACTTCAAGTTTCAGTCCCACAAATGGGATGAATGAGCAATAGTTCACCATATGGCTGTGCCAACGGAGTTCATTGTAGACCATGGACATATAAACACGGGATCCATCATCCATGCTACGACTGCCTACAAGAAAAAATAGAAAACGAGAACCATACTCCTCTGACTGCAGATTTGCGATCTCCATCGCTTCTATAGCAGCCAATGTTAAACTTGTCAGAGGCATGAACTTCTGGAGTCGCTAACCATCACACCCTTTCTTCAGACCACGACCTTATATGACTGAAACACACAAGCCCTGTAATTTTCAAACAAAAGCAGTAAGCAGAGAAATAATGGTCCAAGAATCATTTGTGCAATTGTTCAACTACAGCAGAGGCAGACTGAAGAAAACATGATGAAATAGAAGGAACTATGTTACGACTGTCCAACAAGAGTGGCAAAACTGTTTCTGAACCACTCACCAAGTAGGTTTCATCTTGGAGCTGGTCCGCCCCTCCTCCTCTTGCTTGGTGACCTTGAATGGACCCTGCTGTCCACTTGTGTATGATCAACCTGGAATCGAGTCCGCTTCTCACGAACAGGGCCCGACTCATTCTCCTGATCAGGCACCATGGAGTTATTTAACTCATCCTCTGTGTCCCTCTGGCCCTCAGACCCCTGTTCAGCTGGAATAGTTGTTGAATCTGGAACCGCAGCAGCAATGTCGCAAAGTGATGACCCGCCAAGTTCCCCAACAAGTTCTACACACGTTCTAGTGACTCGCTCAATGAAAGCGCTACATTCGCCTCTGGAGCACCCCTTTTGTGAAGCTGCCTCCTTCGCCAGAATAGTGAGTTTGTCAGTCTGGAATGAAACATGGAGGTGTCAGAAATATTCATGTGTATGCAGAAGAAGATGATCTGAATCTCTGCGCTTGATAATAGTGTGTGTCGTCATGAGAAAATTAAATACATCTTACAAGGAGAATATCTTACCACTGAGTGGATCAGATGAGCTCTGGGGGTGTACCGAAGCTTTGAAGCACGCAAAGAATCTTCATCATCAGCTGTTGCAGTTCGCACGGATGCCCCATCCTGGTGGCCATTACTTATTCTCGGTGTGCAGAGGCGGATACGTGTCGACCGTCTGTACCACCGCAAATAATCCATGTAGTTGGCATGATCGTATGGTCGTTCTTCCATGATAACATGCTGCTCCTTTACTTCCCACATATCCACAAAAGACTTATGCTTATCTGCCCAATCACTACGGACCTTTCCACGACAACACCTGCAAAATCATCAGAAAACCTTATGGGTGGCTACTGGTACATAATTTCCAACTTCCTCGAATCGAAAACAATCATGCACAGTCAACAGACATATCTTTGGACGTACCAATGGAGTTCCACGCTGGTGTCCCGAAATGGTGGCGGGCATTCCTGATGGAGACCAAATTGACGCATCACTCTCTCCGGTGTGTAAACCTCCACCATGAAGAAAAAAACTAGAGGTGCTTGAGTTAGCCACAAATGAGAATCCTGGGTACATATAGGTGCAAGATGTAGTGTCTTCACGCGGTCCTCCCTATATGGGCTCCAAACAACCTGGTCATCTGTTAATAGGTCGAACTCATTTGTAAAGTGCTCATAGCAACGTGCTGGAGCTGACCGATACGTGCACGCCCCCACAACCCATCTGAGACCAACCGTGGGTCTATCCCTGTCATCCTCTAGCTCATCGACGTTTGGGAATTTCGGCTTTAGCATATCTGGCCTGCCGATTGGGAAGCGCTCCCATGACCAGAACTGAAGGAGCAGAAGGCAACCAGTCAGATTACTTTGATCTGATTGCCTCCTGCAAGCATCACACATTGCCCTGTAGAGATATGCCAGAGTGGCAGAACCCCAACTGTATGAACCAATGTTCTCAAGATCAGCTATCAGCGGAAAGGGATAGACAGTGTACCTATCACCAGAGGCATCAGGAAACAATAGACCACCAACCAGGCTAAGGATGTATGCCCTTGCATGATGCTTTATGGTCTCCTCGTCGGCATCTTCAGGGCACTTATTAAACTCAGCTCTGACCCATGCAACCCTCAACCCAGGACGGGACTTATCTGAAGGAGGTGCCTTCCCAAGGTAACGCTGGTACAATTCAATGTAGGACTCTGTTTTGTTTACAATGACAGCATGGCCAGAGATAGGTAGCCCAAGAATCATCGCAACATCCTGTAGTGTGATTGTAATCTCACCACAAGGCATGTGAAAAGTGTGTGTCTCAGGTCTCCACCGATCAACTAGTGCAGAGACGAGTGCACGATCAATGGAGGGCAGTCCAGCCCTGCAAATATTCGCCAACCCCATCAACCCAGCTGGCCTAAGGTAACGTTCGTACCGCTTGTCAAACCGAAGAGGCTCACGGTTACGAGGATTGAGCTCACTTAGATGCTGTGCCAAATCAAGGAAACAGAAATCAGTGGACTATCACTATAACACATTTATTTGCATATAAATGATACAGGTTGTCATTGATCTACCTGGCCTGATGCTAAAGCACGGCCACGATGAACCTCGTCATACAGCCCAATTAAAAGAGAGCTAGTTGTATCAACTGTCCCTGAAGCTCCACACTGGTTCTGACCAGACTGAACCTCTTCACCTGCAAACCGCCCACGAATGCCAGCACGGGCCCTGGTGCTCCTTATTCTTCGTAGTCGAGCATGTTGAGAATGAACGGTTGGTGCATTGACGGTCACCATCGAAGGAGCAAAAAGAGAAGCACCCTGTTCTGGATCTCGCGGTGGGGTATTCTGATGCTGCGCATCCAGTGGTTCACTGTCCAGCAATGCAGGCTCTGGGGAAACCGGCTCTGGAGATAGATGCTTCTCTGCCTGAACATAAACCTCCAGGCAATTCCAGTCGGTGCCATTGAAAACTGCTTTGACATAGTTACTCCAGGACATATCGTCGTTGATAGGCACCATGATGAAGTGCCGATGAGCACCGCCGCCAACATTCGTCCTCCCCTGTGCGCGGACATTGTGTGTCGCCGGTTCCAGCCCAAGCTTCTTGTACACGGCGTCAATCAGCTCACTGTATGTGGGTGCTGCCTTGAACCATATACCCTGCTCGGAGAGGTCCCCGAATTCCACCCCATTTGGACCCTTCACCAGCTCCCCACCGCTGTAAATTCGCACAAATTTGTCCATTGTCCCTGCCAAACATGAATGCATCCAATTCAAAGAGTGCCCAAATTTGCAATACAAATATCTAAACCAAAAGTGTGATTCATGAGCATGTCAGTACTCATTCCGGCAAATCATGGAGCACCAAATTGGACAACACCAAAAGGAACTTCGTTCCCCCAATCGAGGCGCCAAGCTCGCTAGAGGAGTCACCATTGCCTAGAACCACTCCAAGGGCGAGAAAGGAAAGAACTAGGATTCGTATTTTAGAATCCAAAGAACTAGGATTCTTGGTCCCAATCACCATAGGCGCCGTTCGTCTCAAGTTCCCCGCTGCTGCAAACCCTAGCTAACCTTTCCCCCAACTTCACTCCCACTGCTAAGCTAAACCAAGGGTGCCCAACGCAACAGCCTAGCTTTGTCCTCGCCGCTCACAGAGGCCGCACCAGCATCCAAAGTGAAATCGGAAGAACTCGTAATTGAAAATCTCCCCCCAAATCTCCGGCGAGTACAGCTCGCGCGAGAGGGCTATGGTGGCTCCGGGGCGAGCGACGGACGAGCGCACCTGTCCGGGAGGGAGGGGCGGAGCTTACCGGAAAGGCGCGGAAGGGTTCCGCGGCGGCGCCGACGTCGCCAGGGACGGTGGCGGCGAGTAGGTGGGAGCTCGCGTCAAGCGTTTGCCGCTGCTGCGGTTTTGGTCTCCGACGCTGGAGTGTTCAGCGTCTAGTAAGGAAATGACTAAATGACACATGACTCTCCCGTACATACAAAAAAAAATTGCGAACATTCAGAAGTTGTGTCTAGATGAATAAATAAATAGAAATAATAGAGTTAGGGCATCTCCTACGCAATCCCTCAAAATCGACAGCGCAGATGTCCATGATTGTGTTCACAAACACGAATACGAAAGCTGGTCATCCAACTTTATACCTTAAATGTTCATCTTATCAACTTTAAAATAGCATGTGAGCTGCAATCCTCCAGTCAAATAACCGATCAATTGTGTGTGGTGGCATTTAATTGGTGAAGCGGACATCCAGACTACCGCAAACATTCCCTAACTTTACTTCCGATTTGTGGACGTGTCCACGGACAAATACAACTCCGTGTTGAATACAAACTATGTCCAGACAGTCATATCCGGGCGTATGTAGGTGTGTGAAGATGCCCTTATAAATTAAGCTTATAAACTTGTAAGACATAGTCGGGACAACCAAACACTCAAGACAAGACCACAACCGACTCGGATGCAGCTATGTCAATACAAGTCATTGCTCTAAATCCTCCATAACACTAAGCTCCCTAGTTTTTAAGGCCTCGCAATCAATTGAGGTCTCCGTTTGTAATTGGGTCACCTGATTTTGACCGAATCAATAAAAGCTCTCTCATTTAATTATTTTAGACTATACACTATGTTTCTTATTTTCTTAAGGTTTCACTATTAATTAAGGTCTTTAATTTAGAACTAGGTCATCCAATTTTCATCGGGTCAACAATTTCTCAAGGAGCTCTTCTATTTAATTATTTTAATTCGCTATGTTTCCTAATTTTAAAGCTCTTTCGTACGTTTGAGGTATTTATTTTTGGATTTGGGTTATGATTTTGATCGGGGCAACGATTTTACAAATCAATCAGCAGCAACCGTCCTATAAAAAAAATATGAACTCCGTGCATCCTTCTACCACCTAGAAAAAAGAAGGGCCACAATGTGATACTATAGCACCAATATAGTACATGCAGCCACATACACAAAAAATTCGCATATGAATATGAGTTGATTTGCGGATGACATATAGTCACATCGAAAGGGCCACCAAATGAGTGCATTATAAATAAACATAAAACACATTGCATCAACTCCCCCATACGCCAAACTAAATATTCCATCAGTTTCAATATATAAGGGGTATTAGTTTTTTGAAATGTCAAATTCTTTAACTTTGACCAAGTTTAGAGCCAAAAATATCGACATCCACGATATTAAACAAAAAAAGGAAATTTATTTCATGACGAATCTAATGACACCAATTTGATATTATATATGTTCATATATTTCTCTATAAATTTGATCAAACTTAAAAAGGTTTGAGTTTTCAAAAAAAGTAATATATCATATTTTTTGAAACAGAGTGAGTAATTTTTTTAAGAATCCTAACAATAACAACGGCGCAGCAAAGCGCGCCCAACCCTTCTAGTTTTATTAGATGCCTGAAGAAGATATATGAACCAAAAACATCGGTGAAGGCCACAAGGGGGGTTTGTCACTGCCAGGCCTAATTTGGTTGCAAGGCGGGAAGTATCCAAGGGCTCTAATCCCCTTTGGGGGTATTTCCATGGCCACAAGGATCCTCTCCCACCATGGGGAGATCACCATGCCAATTTGGATGACAGGGGAGAGGAGACGATATCACGTCCAGAAAAATGATAGGGCAGTGTGAAAATTCTTAGAAAAAATATAATATTCAAAAATAATGAAAATTGACTCTAGTTTCTTTTCAGAAACATCATATCAATTCAGAAGTAATTAAAAATTTGTATATTTCCTTCAAAAATCTAGGAAATTCAGGAAGGTACAAGATACTCAGGAAGGTAGAGAATAACTCTGGAATTTTAAGGGAAAAACAGGAAATACACACAAATCAGCAAAGAAAAACACTTCAACCCAATCACAGACATTAACCATGAGTTACACATGTCAATTCGCACAAATAATATAACACTACTGAGGTGTGCTAATCATAGTTTTAACATCGAAAATGCAAACTACGGCTAGAAATCCAGCAAGAATAGCATTTTGTTCCATCAAGCTCATGTGTGACTGATCCATAGCAAAATGTCTTCTTCTTGAAATAGTTACTCTACTAAAACTTCCACCATCAACTTCTTTGAACATTTTTATCGGCTAACTTTAGCAAACCTGCAAAGCAAAAAAAACAACATTATTGTTACTACACAATATCAGATTTTTCATTTATATGCATTTTTTTGCAAAGAAACAGATGCAAAGATCATAAAATGCTATTTTCACTGAGAATAATCTGTAGGAAAACTTAAAAACCTTAACAATATATGGGTTCGTGTTTTATGTGCTCGTATGGTCGTTAGTATGTGTTCTCTGTGGATACATATGTAATGGAATGACATCTGAAAAATTGTCATAGTTTTTGCCAGAATTTTAGTTTGCCTTGTGATTTTTTTTTCTGCTGAGATGCCACCTTTTGACGGGCCATGTTGAATTTCAATGTTTGGTTCGGGCCCATTCTTGAGTTGTAAATAAGCTCTCTATCATTTCATTACGGGTATCAATCCAGCGGGCGGTCGAACAGGGATGATATGAATTACCGAAGAAATAGAATTATAGAAATGTAGTATGCAATATCAAAATGTATCCCCTTATGTAAAATGAATTAACTTTTTCATACCATAAAGCTTTCCTTCATGAAACTCTCCATTGTCCGTACCAGCTTGATATTTATATACATACACTATAATATAGAAAAACATCAAACAAGCAAATAACAACCGAGCAATTAGTTAAAAAATTAGCAGTTAAAATTTTAACATCATCGCATACAGGATTTCCTACAAAATCTCTCAGAAGGCGTGGCTAGTACCTTATTTCTAAAGTTAGTCCAACCGGATGCCGTTGGTGTCACTAGGAGGCACGTCATCCTCTGCAAGCTTGTCGATGAGCATCTCCATCGTCTCAATGTACCTAGGCATGTAATGGTCCCTTATCATCGATCTGTCGAGTCGGATCTTGTTGTACATGTCGCGAGGGGTCTCGTAGAGGGCAACACCCTCACTCTGGCTGCCTTGCTCTTCTGATTTTGGCAATGCAACCATGTGCATGATTCTTCCTGGGGGGTACAACTGGCAATGCCGAGGTGCTTGAGAGGCACTCGACGGTGATCGCAGGGCTTCCAGGAGCTGCTCCATGTGTTCTCCATCTGTTCCTTTCCCAGCTTCATCAAAAGCTTGACTCTTTGTAGCAACATATGGCCAGCAGGATAGGGCAGAATGTTTCTTCACTACTTCATGCACGCCCTCTGAATGCTTCATCTCACCCTGGATTTGTAAGCCAAATTAACTCGGCACATGATAAAATACAAAATGAACCTCTGATGTTGCATCACCAGTTCTTTTTATGTTTGAAAAAGAAATCTAGTACCTCAGCAGTCCAAGATTGCAGCATATCGACATTTGCAACCTTAGAACTTGGACTGGATACAAAAGGAATGTAGGATCGCATGAGGTCTACAGAGTGATTCATAAAACTCAGGAGTCTTTTCTGCTGAATACGTTCCTGGAGACTATGTGCCCAGGATGATGCCATAACCTGCAGAGATTCCATAACAAATGCAAACGTATGATCTATGATGCTTCTGCGCTAATAAATTGTGTTACAGCATATACATTTTTCGCTTTTATTTTAACCAGCTAATTGTTGTTCACCATGAAATGAAATGAAAAATTCTAAGAGAGACAACCAACTCATTGTATTTTAGATATGGATGGTACCTTTGTACGAAGTTCAGCGGCTGAGACCTTGCCAAAAGATGGGACCAGATCATTTCTATTGACAACAGTGGTGACGAAGTCTTTGCTGGATTCAGCCAAGTCCCAGCTCATGCAAGCAGCTGGACAGTAGCAGTTCGAAATGTTATGTTAAACTACATCTGTAACGAAATATTGATAAGCTTTTTTTGGAACCAAAAAGAAGGGACTATGACATCGCTGCAGATATTAGCTGCTTCGTTTCAGGCTAGTGATTCTTTAGCACATCAACTGAGTATCAGGTCTGTTGCTTCGGGTGACAATGTCAATGCCGGTGTTCAGCATACTTAAGCTTTTAGTATTCATTTTGTATTTGTGCGAGTAATGATTCCACGCAGACCTTTCTTAAAATGAACGGTTGTTTCTTAACAGTGCAGGTGGTGCATCATTGTTACGTACACCCTCTCTATTCCTAAATGTAAGATGTTTTTGCAGTTAAAAGTGTCTTACATTTAGGAACAGGTAGTACTCCCTCCGTCCCAAAATAAGTG